ACGATCGAGATCGTGCGTATAGATCACTCGAGTTGGTTCACAAAGAGATCTTACTCGATCGTAGCACGTGCTTCTACTTCTCGATTGATACTGAACACATTTCCTAGAGAGTTGAGTCTTTTGTGGATGAACACGAAGCATGTTTGTTAGTAAACAATAGATCAAAATTAGTCCAAACAATTTGCACATTTACGGATATGAGTAATAATGTAAGAATTCTCTTTCTTTTCTTATATGTTAACCGAAAAGATTTCTAATTGATTAATCAGTGTATATCTATGAAATTTACTTTTAATTCAATATAAAATCTTCATCGTATCGAAATAGAAAGTTTTGAATAAATGAATGAATTATTGAAAAAAAAAAAAAAAAAAAGAAAAAAGTCAATAATGCATGTTCTCTCAACACGTCGATCTATGTATAATACTAATCTTAATACTTTCCTTTAATTTTTTGTAGATATGTGAATAAGATATATATAATAATAATTTTTTTTGTAGATATACGAATAAAAGGTACAGGAGAATTCGTTGTTATACATTTTGGATTAGAATTTGCTCTTATTAAAAAATATATTTTTCATCTTCGAAATGTCAACAAAAAAAAAAAAGAAGAAAAAGGAAAGAAAAAAAGAATAAAACATGAAGAAAAGAAAGAAAGAAAGCAAGAAATTAATTCTTAAAAACACTGTAAAATTATGTTTACAAAATTGAACCGGCTGATCGATCGTCGTTCGCTCACTTTTGAGACATTGTTAACGAGCTAATTAATTAGGAAATTTAAAATGTATTATTCTTCGAATCCAATGAATTTTTCAAATTTTCGAATGGATCATAGAACAACCGGGCAAAAGTTAAAGAAGGTCTCTCTCTCTGGTTTGTAGATCGGCATCATGCTTCGGTACCACGAGCACGATGTGGGTGTGACCTGGTTTCCGAGAGTTTCACTTTCCTGTAAGATCGCCGCGGACGGAGGAGGTAAGGAGGATTCGACCCCAGTCGTTACGTCATGCATTGTTATGCCGGCCGTAACGGGCCGTAGTCGTACGTGCGGAACTCCACGAGAATTAAAATAAGCTTCGAGGCTGTGCGCTCGCGCGACCGCTATCGCTTAACTCGCATCGATTCCGATCGTTATCGACGATTTTCTTTACGGCCTCGGACGAGATAATTAAAGAGACTCGATTTAACGCATTATATCAATTTTCTACACCTCCTCTTTCGCGTAATTATTTTCTTTTGACGATGTTATTTTATATGACCTTAAAATCAAAATAATATCATTTATGTTTAATAAAACTAAATGATATATACATAATGGTTAACAAATTGATTTAAAAGAAAAAAAAAAGAAGAAAAAAGCAAGGAAAAAGAAAGAGAAAACGAAGAGGAAGAAGAAGAAGAAAAAGAAAAAGATAAATCGATCGAATTAAATTTGGATCATCGTTTTGTCGAAAATATATAAATATTGAACGACAGTTACTATTATATTTTACGATTACGAACTTAACGATTCCTTTAATAAGTTAACTGATCGCGTGTACGGCAAGATTGATAAACGTGCAATATCCGTGATTGATACTGTTAGAAATTCGATAGCTAACACGCGAGAAATAATCATTTTTACGATCTACGAAACTCTCTCTCTCTCTCTCTCTCTCTCTCTCTGATCTCATAACATTTGGATGCCGTGAATACTTTTATCAATAATGAGTATCTCAAAGCCGATGAGTGTCACTATCGATAAATCGGTTTCCAATTATACGGAATGAAGTATATCGTTTACATTAGAAAGCTGAATATTATTATATGGCATTGTACAAATAATAATCACAGATATTTCTAATTATCAGTATAAATATTCAAATCGATAAGATAAATAATTGATATTATTCATTTTATAAATAAATAAATAAATAAATAGATATAAGGATAATCAATAATTTTCTTTTGAATCTATTAATTATTTATTAGCCAGCCGTTTATCACGTAAATACCGGTTTTAAATATATATCTTTAATTTCTTCACTCGATAGTTTTATTATTGTCATGTGAGAGAAATTGGGATTATATACTGCCTGATATTTATTTTTACTTTTCTTTCTTTTTCTTTTTTTCGCAAATCACGGTTCATCCTTTCGACTAAACTCTCCCTTTCATCTTTTTTTTTCTTTTTTTTTTCCTTTCTTTAAACTATCTAAGATCTCCGATCGGTAATGCACGTGAGAATCGTCGGAACGTCTGTATGTATGTACATACATATATTAACTCGATCTCGTTCGCTTAGATTCGAGAGAACAGATAACAGATGTATCTCATATACAGAGTGTTCTTTCAGTTTAATCAATTACGCGCAACCAATAAGAATAAGAAAATCTATTTATAATGTTAATCTTTCAATTTTCCTTATCTCCTACACGCGTTCCTATATTATAATTTATATATAATTATTTTAATTAAAAAATATTTATAGAAATTTACGACGACAATTGAAACAGATTGATTAAATATTTTAATCGGCGATATTGTGTAAAGAATCTTTTTTCGAAAAGTGTCTTGTTTAGAAGGTCAATAAAAGATTCGAAAAATGTATTCCATTTAATATAATAATAAGTAAAATCATGGAAATATTCAAGAATCGTATCTCGCATCGATTAATCATTCGAACAGAAAAAATAAAGAAAAACACGTGATAGAAAACGCGACTATCGGAGAAACGAATATCTAATGATTGCGATAATTCTCAATGATTCGGAGGACTCTTCAAAAAAGAAATATATATATATATATATATATATTGCAGTTGGAACATCGAGTGTAGCAATTTAATGGATAATTTTTGCGTATGACATGTTCAATTTTGTCTGTGATAATCATCTATGATGTATTAGAACGTTCTTCTTTCATTTATTAACGGTGCGAGTTTTACGAAAATTTATATTTGAATAAAAAATTATTCCAAAAATTCACCTCTCTAAAATATATTTTTTTTTAGAAATTTTTAGGAAAATAATTACTATCACAACGTTTTTAATAAAATTCAAATTGATACTAAATCGTTGCATGTACTCTGGATCTCTTTTTACATTGTGAATCCGTATCGTATAAAAACAAAAACAAAAAGTACGTAAAAAAATCCGTACAAAAATCGATTTACGAAAAGTATAAAACTTGTGTTAAATTAATGCAAATTATAATAAAAAAGTAATTTAAAATATAGAATTGCATTCAGCCAAAACGTTTTTATTTAATTAATAAATATATAAAAGAAAAATCAAAAAAAATACGCACAACTTTCACGACATTCTCTTCGAATTAATTAATCTGCGTTTTAGCAACTCATGTAAGTAAAATAAATGTGAATAAAATGCGTTAAGAAAATCGTATAACTGTAAGTCGCGTAAAAAGACAAAAAGAAAATAGAACAAATCGAAAAAAAAGAAAAAGAAAAAAAGCAAAACAAAAAAGTACCGTTCAAAATGAAACCCAGGTATTGCATTATGTATTAAACCAAATCAAATATTATATAACAATTTCATGAGCAAATATTTAAATGAAACCATCAGTATTATACGCGCAGATATTTTTGTTTTGGTAAAATAATTTTTGATAACGAAATTTAAATGGAAAGCAAATAATTACGTATACGTTACATTACATATGTATTAAATTACATTAGACATTGATACATTTTGCAGTTCTGTAAAGTACATTTAAAGATGGATTAAAATGAGACACCCTATAAGTGTGTATATATATATGCACAGATATATATACATACATCATACATACACACACACACACACACACACACACACACACACACACACACACACACATATATATATATATATATATATATATATATAGATAAGTAACATATCTAGATATCTACTTAAAACATACTTCGTTCGATCGGTCGGTCACGTTCGGATCTTGACGCTCGTCTTTTAAATTTACGAGCAATGCATAGAACTCTCTAAGTTCGTTCGTTTAGTTCTACTCTCTCTCTTTCTCTCTCTCTCTTCTCTCTTTTCTCTCTCTCTCTCTCTTTTCTCTCTCTCTCTCTCTTTTCTCTCTCTCTCTCTCTCTCTCTCTCTTTTTAACGCTTCTCGTAGAGGAATAGAAAAGAGTATAGAAGAGTTTGACGACGATAAATGGAGGGGGGAGAAGAGATAGGCGGGAGCTCTCACGTGCGCTCACGAGCGCGTGCGCCTACTCTCGCCACGATTCCCAAGTGTTAACCGACGACGGCACATATAAAAGAGCGTTCTAGCGTGCGACCTATATTCCACGCCTGCATCGCTATATTAGACGCGCGCGACGCATCAGGGACGCGCCTGTGAAACGGCGCCTCTCTCTCTCTCTATCTCTCTTTCTATCTCTCTTTCTATCTCTCTTTCTCTTTCTCTCTTTCTCTCTCTTTCTGTTTCCCTCTTTCTCTATCTTGTTCTCTCTCTCTCTCTCTCTCTCTCTCTCTATAGCGTTCTAACTCTATCTGTCCTACTCTTTCTCCTCTCTCGAACTCTTAAACTCTCTCTTTCTCTCTCTCTCTCTTTCTCTCTCTCTTACTGTAAAGCTCTCTCCCCCACTAAATTCCTGGCCAATCGAGTCCAAATTAAAATACCAGTTCCCCATACCACTACGATAACGTTTCTTTAAATAAGCATATATAGTTAATCTTTCTCTAACGAAGTTTTAGTACAGTTAAATCTATTTCAAAATACGTATTCTCTCGCGATAAACGCATTGTGGTAACAATTTTATTTATTTGTTTATTTTATTTTTCTTTTTTTTTATTTACTATTCTTTTTGTTCGATGGATTTTAATGAGATGTCCAATGAAATGACATTGTTCTTATTGTTACGTAAATTGTCTTCCATAACCGGAATGTTATCGATTAAATATAAACAAAAAATTCTAATCCGATCTTAATTAATAAATATTGTTACAAATCCTTTTACTTATTTATAAATCACTTTAATAAATAAAAATGATAACGATAAGAATTCGGATTAATAATTATCGTAAATTTCTGTATGATAAATTAATGCTTTAATACAAGCAAAAAGTTTATTGTTAAGATGATAAAAAAGGTATTTATTTGTGAATTAATCTAATATTTTCATGAGAGGTATATAATGAAATAGAAAAAAAAAGAGATGAGATGATGAGGGGTTACTGAGGATAAGACGGAGGATGCTATCGAATCTCGCAAACGATAACCTCTTCCGTTTTTTTTCTTTCCCATTTTTCTTTTTTCTTCTTTTTTCTTTTTTTCCTTTCTTTTTTCTTCTTTTTTCCTTTTTTTTTTTTTAACCGAGATAGCTTCTAAATATCACGCAAATGATTCATTGGATATACAAAAAGGAATAATAGAAAAAAAAATGAAGGACAAATATTTAAGTTAAAATTGTACGGACGAAAAATTCGCTTCGAATTATTTTCTGCGAAGAATTGGAGCTGCGATATTTTTCTTTTTAGTTTCTTTATTATAAAATTTCTTTTCCAGTTAAATTACCCTCGCGAATTCCTGACATCAATACGATTTTCACGTGTATTCATGCGCATAAACGAAGTGCAGCATCCAGAATGGAACGCGTTCGCGCACCCACGTATCCGCGAGGAAGTCGAGAATTTATTTTTATCTTCCTTCTTCCGCACGATCTCCGATGTCTCCTTCGTACGTCGACCCATCGACCGTTCGTTATCTTCGAGATTCTTCCCTCTGTTTATAAAAGAAAAAAAGAAAAGTAAAAGAAAGAAAAAACACAATTAAAATACAAAAATAATAAGGAGGATGATTTTATCTTCTCAGATTATTAATATTATTATTATTATTATTATTATTATTATTATTATTATTACTACTATTTATTATAACTATTACTAATAATAATATGTAGTCTTGAATTGCATATATATATATATATATATATATATATTGCTAAAATGATATATTGATAATATTATATAATGTATTGATATATTCTTAATATTGTTTAATATTCTCTGTTTTATTATATTGAACTTGTATATTACGAATTATATAAACACAGATTAATAATATTAAAAACTTAATAATATTATTATACTTTTGTCCTGTAACTAATTTTAAATTCTTGTCCCTTTAATGATTAGAATTAGTATAAAATACCACTGATAAAATTGATAATGCACATTTTGTTTTTTGTTTTTTCTATTTCAGCATTAAAACGTACGCAGATAGACACACGCAAATATTCATAATATTTTTATAATCAGAAGTGTCTGACACGATTGAAAATTTAAAAAAAAATGGAGAAAAAAAATTCCGAATCATTATGAAAATATGTTGGCAGTAACATTGAGATAAGAGAAAATCATGCCTTTTCAAAGCCTATAAATTCCGTAATTGACTTATATAAGATCGCGAGAGGAGTCTTTCAAAAGGAAGATCTCGACGAAAGAAGACGAAAAATTGCAGGAAACGAGCGCGCAAATCGAACGTTGTCACGTTCTATTCGAAACAAGAAGAACTCGAGAAAGTCAGTTCTGTTTAAAAGAGTAGATTGAACGTCACGCGACTCCATCGATATATTTCAAAGCAACGATATCACCGACGATATCAAGACAAGCTACTACTAAACTGCCATAATAAGACAGAATGTATCCATTATTAATAACATAAATAAGAAAAGAAACGTGACAATTCCAATCGCCATATGGTCAACCTAAATTCTAAAAGGCTATCGTAACTGGCATAATCGGGATAACCTAGATAATATGTACTTAGAAACATATTTACGTACCACGAAAGAAAAGGAAGGAATAGGGAGATAAACGATTGAAATATGAAAGATCGTTACTATGTTAGAAATTTCTTCTATCGATTCGTAGAACAAGACGAAAATTGATCGATCGATGGTCGATGCTAAATTTAAACACATCATTAATTTCAATGAATTCGCTTGATTTACACCTAATAGAAGACTATCATTAAAAGTTGTCTGACGTACCAAATGCTGTTAAAACGAAAGATCTTAAGACATTAGAATTTCCTTCAAGTAACTTGTTGATCTTAATGAAATCAAAGTCCGACTGCCGAATTAGAACGTTTCTTAATAGTCATTGCATTTAATATACTAACATAAAATAGAATAGAATATTTGTTATTCGAAAACCTGTTAATACGATTAGAAATAATTATATATACATAGACATATATATCGTGTATTATCTATCTTATATATATCTATCTATCTATATATACATATATATATATATATATATATATATATATATATATATAAGATAGATATATATATAAGATAGATAAGTACACGATCTTCTCAATATTATTATTCAAGTAAAAAAAAATAAAAAAATAAAACCATACTACATATACATTATTATCATAGTTACAAGATCGAGCATTCGGCTACTGTTATAAGAACTTAACGATATTAACAAAAAAATAAATAAATAAATAAATAAATAAATAAATAAAAAATCTATTCCAAAGAAATATTGAAATATTATTCTAAAGTAATTAATCGAACTAATCGTAAGAATCTCCGTGAATCTTCATCATCATTATCGTCATGATCGATGACAGTGGTGACGATGCAGTCGTTGTCCTCCTATGGGCTGCGGTCGAGACTTCTCCCATTAAATCACAAATGAATGACATTAACGGTGCTATAATATCGTAGCAGTATTACCGTGACGGGTATTACGTGTCACGAGTCGTGCGCTAGCGCTCGCGCTCTCGCTCTCTCGAGTGCGCGCGCGCGCCCGCTCGCGTTCCCTCTCGTTTTTCCCTCCTCCTCTTCCTCCTTCTCTTCCTCGTCATCTACCTTCTCCTCCTCCTCCTCCTCCTCCTCCTCATACTCCTCCACCCTTTTTCTCTTTCTCCTACTCCTTGTCTCCTCTCGCTTGCTTCCATCATCATCCTGGTCTCCCACTCTTTAAACTCGACGCGCGCTCTACTCGCTCTTTCCATCTCTCCCTCCAAGCTACTCTCTGGAAAACATTCTTACCGTTGCATGCAAGGAATCAGGTCACTGCGCTGCAAGAAAGCAAAAGCCGCGCTCGCGAGCACGGGCTACGGAACGAGCACGGATTAGTATTATCGAATGTATATGTATATATATATGTGTGTGTGTGTGTGTGTATATACATACCTATATATATCTATATCTGTATATGTATATATATATATATAATATATATATATATATATATATATATATATATATATATATCCTCCGGAAAAGGACGATGACTAAGACATCGTTTCGTCAGAACTTTCGCGAAACCCGTGTTAAGAACCGACCTGGCGTAGGGCAGGCCGGATGCTAGGAAGAAAGAAAGAAAAAGAGAGAGAGAGAGAGAGAGAGAGAGAGAGAGAGAGAGAGAATGCAACATTTTCCGATCTGATCATTAATCGATAAGATTTTCTTAGAAAATCTTTCGATTCCTTTTATGCTTACTTTCTTACGATGAACTTGACAATATCGTTAAGATTTACCTATTAATGAAGAAGACAATCTGTATACATATAGTATATACCTATCTATATGTATATGAACATCCATGTACATTAAAAAATATGTAATACAATTAGCATTATCACTTCTTCTACAATTTTATAAGTTTTGTGATGAAAAAATAAAAAAAACAAAAAAATATAAGAAAAAGATTTTACAAGAAACGATAAAGTAATTTCTACGATATGATGATTTTTATTCATGTAATTTTATCACTTATCACTGTAAAATAGAAATTTATATGTCAATGAAATATACAGTCTTTATATCTCCGCCTATAGTGACTATCCAATGTCACCAAACTTCAATTACTAATTTTTACGGCAAAGAACAAATATTTTAATAGACAGTCTGTTATCTTAACGAAATAGGAAAATTATTTTCAGAATATATCAAACGAGAAAATTTTCATATAATCATTATAATCAAGTAACTTCATAAAATTATCGTAAAAAAGACATTTATGCGCTGATAAAGACAAAAAAAAAAGAAAGAAATTACAATTTTCAAGCAATCTAACAGAACCTGTTTCACCTAATTAATAAATAATCTCGTAATTTCAACAGTAAAAGATAAAGTAACCTCTAAAAGCATATCTATATATAAACACATAGATACATACATACACATACATACATTTTATATATATATATGTATACATATATATATATATATATATATATATATATATATATAAGAAGATAAATAGATAAAAAGATAATTTAATAGCCTATAATCGTACACGAAATAAAACCAAAGACCATGAGATTAAAAAATTTTCATGCAATTACTTTCTAAATAATCAACCAATACAATCGATTCCTGTATTTTATAAACGATTATAATACTTTTATTTACAAGAAAATTTTTATGAATTTAATTATATAGAAATTTTCATACAATTACTTTTTAAATACGTGATCAATCAATATAAATCAATTCTTGTATATCATGACCGATTATAATATTTTTATTTATAGTACAATTTAAAAGACAATTTAAATGATCTGATATATGTATGTGTGTGTGTATATATATATGTATATAAACACACATATATGTATACATAGCTGTTTAAAAAAGAAAACAAAAAAAATACCTTAGTCTTTTTACATTGATACTTCTTCACTAATTTGAAGAAGGAAAAAGTACGAAGACGAAAGTCTTCTGATACCGTTGGTGTTGGTCATGGTCTGATCATCTCGTATGACGCATTACGAACTCCTGGTAGGCCTTTACCGAAGCTAGAATCGATGCTGCATAAGCATGCATACGCGTTCTTCTTATCGCTCTCTTGCAATGTGCATCTTGTATTTCGTTTTATTTTACGCACGACTTTCGACATATTCCACATCGATATGGTACATATACACACACACACACACACACATAGTAAGTAATAACAAAAAAAACCCACGGGTTCTTTCGGTAATTCCCTTGGTTTGTTTGGCTTACTTGTGAAAAGGTCAAATTAACATTGATGACTGATAAATAATCAAAAATGAATAAACTCGTTGATAATAAAATTAGCCTAACTAGATATATAATGATTTCGAAGAGAATCAAACACGACTTATCGCTTTTTGATTATCATTGAGATCGGACAAATCCTTTCTCTTTTATAAACGAATTCTTTAATTTATTTATTTATACTTCATAAACGAATTTTACGTTGTTAATATTTCTGTTATATATATATACATATATATATATATATATATATATATATATATATATATATAAATGTAATGGTTAAAAAAAAAAGAAAAAGAAATTTTTTTTTTGTTATTTTCAATTATTATCGACCAAGTAAAATAATACAGTAAAATTTCGACTAGAATTTTGTCCTTTTCGATCATTTCGATATAATTCAAAAATAAAAATAACAAGGACGTAAATAATTTGAATATAATTTTATTAAACTTAGCGATCATGCAAACTGCAATATGTTTTATGTATGCGTTCGTATGACACGATAAGTTTGATAACGTTTTAATTAATTAAAAAAACAAAAAAAGGAATTATGTCACACCTTAAGTGAATAATGCATCCATTTGGAATCATGCAAGTCTAACAGTAATAATACGAATATCATTTTAAAGTACAGACTTTACATATATGTATATATTAGCGTTTTGGTTTGAATATTTCGATTCTCAAGGATATTCGTCTATTCTAATTATAATTCACCATTCAA